GGAGCTTTGATTTGAGCACTGTAATTTTGATCATTGTCATAAATCTAGTTTCCTTTTGTCTCATGATTTGAGGAATTCTATCCTGCTTTTGCCCTGATGCTAAATGATTGTTGTATGTTTTATTTTGCAATCGATTATTGGAAGGTTTACAAGTTGTATGCTTGTGCATGATATCAGGTTGGCAACAGGATTATCAGGAAGAGGATCCATGTGCGTGTGGAGCATGTGCAGCCTTCAAGGTGCACTGAGGAATTCTGTTTGAGGAAGATAAAGAATGATCAGTTGAAGGCTGAGGCCAAGGCAAAGGGTGAGGTTATTAGCACCAAGAGGCAGCCAAAGGGACCCAAGCCAGGTTTCAGGGTTGAAGGGGCAGTCATGGAAACTGTTACTCCCATTCCTTATGATGTCGTCAATGATCTTAAAGGAGGCTACTAGATCTATTTTACGGTTGTGTTGGTTATCCTCAAGGACTGGTCTAGTTTATTCAAGTGCTTCTTTAGTTTGAGGTACTTTCATCTGCTGCAGCAGAAATTGCTTAGTTTAATGTTTTATGATACATGATGTTTTCAAGTACAATTTTGTGCGAATGTGGAAATCGTCTGGAATTACCTATATTATTAGTGGTGTTGTGCTTAAGTTTTTTCTGATTATTCCCAGCACTTGGCTGGCTTAAAGCTGTGGCTGGGTTTTTAGAAATGCTTATTTTTCAGGTTCAACCTTGCCCTTTTTTTGCATTAAAAAATTAGCACCTCATGGTTTTTCTAATGATCGAAGTTTAATTATATCAGTCACTTTTACACCTATATTTTGTTTTAGATTGGACTAAATTCTGGGCTCTACCGTGTCTATGTTAATTGTCTTAATCTAAACACTGACACATGGTTTGTCTGAAGTCATGTGAATTTTTTTAAAAGTTCATAAATCCTACATTGCTTACCTTCTATGCAAGTATGAACTTGAGATTCAAATGGTTCTTTTGGATTAATGAGCAAATCTTAAACTATTTACTCCGTGTAAGTTATGTGAATTTTTAGATTTTTGGATTCAGCTGGCATTGTTTGCAATGTATATGTATGGTTCAAATTTTTCACCCTCTATGGTCTTACGGGATTTGAATGCATGACCAAAGACCATGTTTTAACCGTAATGTTTCGTCCTCTATCGTGTTATGGGATTTGAACTCATGACCATGGTTTATAGAAATCGTCTTTGTCCAGTTCGGAGAAATTCTTGTAGCGTGGCAACATTTCTGATAGGCTCAAGTCTACATTTTTGTTGAATTGGCCAAAAGTTGAACAAAGTTATAGGATAAAAGTTGTTTTTTTAAGGTGGTGTTTTCTACTAGACAATTCATATTAAATGTGACACTAGATGAACTCCCTATAAGATAGAATCAGAAGCATTTAATCTAAAGTCTACCATGTATTGGTTTAAGAAAAGAATATAAGGTGAGCTGGGCTGCGGTTCCAACTTCAAACAGAGAAACCTTGATTTCCAATTACTCTTGTTAATTTTGTTTTCTCTCTACCCAAAGCAAAATTGGTTTTGTACCCAAAATAAAAAATAAAAAGAGAGAAGCAAAATGGGTACCTTTACGTTTGTTGCTTACCAAAAGAAGATCTTTCTCTGATTGTAATTATCCATGGTATTTTTTTTAGAACTGATTCTCTGTCTCTCAGATAAATAAATACAGCCCAGTTTTCTCCTGCTTTTTCTTCTTGTCTCAGGTACCATCTCTCTTAACACCATTAGCCTATTGTTTTCAATTGTTCTCTTCTTCTTTATTTCAGGGGGTCTCATGGTTACATAACTTGCATAATTCAGCTATTGGTTTTTTTCCCCCCCATTTAATTGGGCAGTTGAATTCGGCACTTGCTCAGTGGTTCCCGGAGCACTGGTGCCATAAGCTGATTGATCAATCAAGCAGATGCGAGCTACATAGTTGCATTAAGGAATGTGCCAAAATACAGTTTGTTTTTGCACATACTATTGTAAGGATCCTCTAAAGTGATTATGAGTCATTTCATGAGGGCCTGAGGACACGTACGGATGGGCTGTAAAAGCAATATCAAGCACATGACATTGTTAATAGTGGGAGATTTACATTCAAGTTCTTGTTTATGTTGTTCACTAATCACATTAGCCTTAATTAT